TGTGTGAATGTGTGAATGAGTGTAAAAGCGCTTTGAGTGGTCAGAAGACTAGAAAGGCGCTATACAAGTACAGGTCCATTTACCATCCATCCATTTACCATAAACGGCTTGAAACAAACCCTCCAGTTGCCTGATTCGCATACGAAGGATCAACATTTAGAGACGTTTGGAAGAGAAATGACGGAAGAATCAAAGAAGCATATGAAGAAGAAGAAACTTAATTTTACAGAATGTGAACTGGAGGTAACGAAGGATCAAACTAACTAAAGAAACCTTGTTATTTGGATCCATAACAACAGAATGAAGTAACGAGAACGACAGAAAGTAACGGAGGCAGCGAGCTGTTAATTGGTCGCTCAGGTTGTTGTTATTCCTCAGTATTACAGGATAATAATAAGCTTCTGTATTTTTCAACTGTGTTAGTTGAATGTAAAGATAAAGCTTCAGATATCCGATGAGTAAGTTACGGCAGTATCGGCACCTGATACCGATATTGGATCGGATCGGCCACATTATCTCGTTTGAGGGCAAATTACGTGAGTTTTCCATAATTCCCGGACAAGCAACAAAACAGTGCAGGCAGGTCCTCGCCACCCGTTATTTACCACAATAATACCCAGTGAGGTTCCAGGTCGTGTACAGCGAGTGAGGGAAAAAGTAATCCAGCAAATATTTTCTGCTCTTGTAACAAAGGGCAGGTAGAAAGTCCATTTCAGGGTATTGAGGGTAAAACTTGCCATTGAATGCCTCGAGGGACTGTCCCCGAGCAGGAACAGCTCAGTGTCGCTCTCCCACTCGTCGTCTGAGCCGTCCCAGTACCTCCGGCGCTGCCCTGAGGACTGGGACCGGGTGACCACCTTGGCCGACGCCAGCGCAGCATCCTTGGAGTCTCCGGGAGCAGGATGAAGAACCAAACTGCCCGCCCTCTCACGTTGAGGCGACGCAGCCTCCCGCTCTTCCTCATCATCCCCAAACAAAGAGGATTCAAAGTGAAGGAAGCCGTTGGCGAAGGGACTGTTGCTGTCCAGGGAGAAGGCCGGACTCAGTGGGGCCGAGAAACAAGCTTCTGTCTTTTTCTCGGGTTGATTGGCTGCCGGCGCGTCTCTGTTTCCGGTTTGGACCGCAGGTTGTTTCGAGGGTTTACCGAAGCTCTCCTCCCGGCTGGCGTTCTGGGAGCCGGAATAATCGCCACCGTCACCCCAGGAGTCCCTCTCCTTCTTACTCACCCCCCACTCCCAGCTCCTCTCCGTCTCCCTTGCCGGCAGGACCAGGTCCGGCTGGCTCACCATGGAGGTGAGGTGCTGCAGCCTCCTGAGAGGACTGTAGGAGGACGAAGAGGAGGAGGAGGTGGAGGAGGAGTGGTCCCTCTGCGTGAACCCGTACACATGCTTGAGGGAGGAGGCAGCGGCAGACATGGTTAGGCCGATGCGGTGGTCATGGTGTCTGGAGAGGTCACGGCCTGGGGTCAAAGGGCAGCTGGACTGGTGAGGGCCCGAGTAAGGCCCGCTCATGCTGGCATGGTTCCTCCCTGGAAACACGAGCAGAGGATTATCAGTGAGGAGCGACGCTAAATGAACAAACTCACTCTAATTTTATGATATTGTGCAACAAAAAGTAAAAAGTATGGAAAAGAAAAAGCCAAAATTAAGATTAAATTCAGTCTGTAGACGAAGAATTAACATGAAAATACTGTTTAACTTCTGTAAAAAAAATTAGAATACTCCTGTACTCCTGTTTTAAGTTATTACAACTTAATTCATCCTATTTTGTCCACTTATCTTATTTTAACATCTCAAAACATCAACAACAGCATAATAAAGTCATAATGAGAAAATTAGATTCTATAAATCATTAGTTTCTAGTTGCTTCATATGCAGTTAAAATGAAAACAGAACATTTTCAGAAAATGGCAAAGATGAGAAATAATGACAAAGGTCAAAGGTTCCCAAACATGTGTTTAACGACGGTTTCAGGTTATTTGTTTTCTCAAAAAAAGCAAAAGGTCCTACAAAGATCCAGTGTTTGGTTTGTCCCTTCTGGGCTCCTGTAGAAACATGGCGGACTCTGCCACTGGAAGAAGACCCTCTGTAGATAAAAACGTCTCATTCTAAGGCAACAAAAACACAATTATTCTTATGATCAGGTGATTAAACGCTAATAAAAACATACCTGGGACTATTATAATCAATAAATCCTCCTCAATGTTTCAAACTGGACCTTTAAATTGTGTATTTTGTTTGGTTCTGAAGGTCAAAAGTTCCCACAAACACAAAGTCGTGTTAATAAGAAGAGAACAGATTATAATATAATCACATTAAGATCTATTGAGTATGATATTAATGGAGATATTGTCCTATAAGAACACTACTGTAGTATTTGATCTATTGTCTCAGACTTAAAGCTCCAGTGTGAAACATTCAGGAGGATTTATTGTCAGAATATAATATTAATAGATATGTTTTCATTATTGTTTAATCACCTGAAAATAAGAATCATTGGCGGGTCTTCTTCTAGTGCCATCTTGAACCGCCATGTTTCTACGGCAGACAAACCAAACACTCGCTCTAGTTACGACCTTTTCACGTTGTTTCGCAGATTTAGCTTCCACCTTTAAGCTGCGTCCTAAATGCCCTGAGTCGGGAGGGTGAGGAAAAGTGATCGCAATCTGCAACTACACCACTAGATGTCACTTTAAATATATATATTAGAGTCCAGTCCAACAATATTATGTCTTTTCCTGTTTTCCTTCAAAATAAAACCCACTAATGAAGCACTCTTGTTCAGGAAACGAGGTTATTAATCCAAAAAAATCCACCAATGACGGGCACTGACAGCGTAACCATGGTTACCAGGCTGCCAAATGGATGTCACCTGCAATGACACAATAATTATTATCCCCCCGGTCTTGACTCGGACTCGAACCTGGACTAGTGAGGACCCTGGTCCTGATGAGACCAGCAGAGTCCTGTTATGTTGTTGTTCTTCTTTAATCCAACAATAAATCACATTTCAGTTTCTAAAAGATCAATCATCTGCTGTGAAGTTGTTATGAGCTTCTTTCTTCCTCCACACAAACACAATCTGTCTTCCGGCGATGTCAAAATAAAACACAAACACACTCACTGACGACCTGATGTGACATTTCTGGCGCACCGCAAACACCGTCCGCAAAACCTCATCCCGCGCAATTATCGCGATATGATGAAAATGACATCAAGTACGATAAGGTCAGCGAGCCTGAACACACACACACACACACACACACACACGCGGATTATCACTATTATTATTAACGCCGATGCTGTAAAAACACACTGGATTTAAAATGGACCCGCGCGTGCACGTTTAGGTGTGTGCAACTGCATGTGTGTGTGAGTGTGTGTGTGTGTGTGTGAGAGTGTGTGTGTGTGTGTGTGTCTATATGTGTCGCTCATGGCTCCACGAGACAGAAACACAAACGCTACCATAACACGAGACGACACCAAACACACACTGACACACACACACACACACACACACACACACACACACACACTCCTCCACAGGCTTCCCTCCGACAGATGCAGCCTTGTGTGCATCAAACAGCAACAAAAATCACGCAGAAAACGCACAACGACGCGGGATCCGTCGCGAGAATCTTACCATTCCGGTGTCGGTCACCGCGAACGTGACCCTCGACCCGCTCATTGACGCCTTTAAATGCGCCAATTTCCAGTTTTTTGAGAGCGGATGAGGAGAGTCCCAGCGGCAACAGTACTAGGCCTGGATCCTGTGAAACACTCACTCCCCCCTCCCTCCTCCTCCTCCTC